AAACCACGCTACTGCTTCGCTGCAACATTAAAAGTTACCTCGCTGTTTCTCAAGGGGTAGGAATTATTATGTAAGAGCGGCGATTTTATAGGATTACACGACTTAATAAAAAAAACAATGCTTTCTTGTATCCGATTGCCATCAGAATAAAAACTTTAATTATTGTTTCACGAATCGATTTTAATAGACGAAGTTTAGAATCTACAATACATTCCTGTTTATTTTCTAATACAAAATGTTTAATTGTTTTATAAACATTGGTCATAATTGAAATAAAATTGTAAATATTGTACAAGAAAATGTACTTCTCAATTAAATCAAAAAAATTAAACTAATAGCATATTTATTGAATAAATTGGCTATTATTGTCCTGACATTGTTGATAAAAAAAAAATATTCAATTAAAAATATTATGAAGAATATATGGACTCAGAAAAATAATATATAAATTAAAAGCTTGAATAACTACAGAAAGAAAAATACAAAAAGCTGTCCACGATCATTAATTATAAAAAGTGAGTATTTTTAAGAGAAACAATTTTATGGAAACTAATAGCATTTAGTTTTAGACCAGGAATAAAGGAAAAGTTATTCTCAGTGTTAGAAATTGAATTTTCAGTTACAACTATATTGCAGAAATATAATTCACGAAACATTTGTTTCCAAACTATTATAATTGGTACTGTTCGAAGCTTTTGAGCGTAAGCCGAGTTCATTTCGAAAGAGTGTTTCTACGTTTCGCCAACATTGCAACTTCATCGAGAATCTGATAGCAGACTGATACCGATGTTACAGTATCCTGGTGAAGCCAGTTGCAACGCTGGCGAAACGGAACACGGCTTACACCAAGAAGCCACGAACAGCGTTAACTATAGTCGATGTAGCAGAGTTCAGAACTGGAGAATACCCTAAATATCTCATTTTATAATGTTATATTCGTGTTTTTTAAATCCATGTAGTTTATGAGTTACGATATAGTTTATAAAAAGCACATAAATATTTTATAGGTATCGTCTAAAAGATATTTTATGTAAGAGAGTGTTGATAGATAAATTTGTGAGAAAATTTTCTTTTTCATGAAAAATTAAAATACACTGCCAGAGGCTTTGTTTAAAAAATTTATCGGTATTCAAATTATCACTGAATTAATAACCTTTTGGAACAGTGTTCTTCAAAATGGAGGAAGAGCACATAAATTCCTAAAGCTACTATACAAATCTTAATAAATATTTTTACAAGAAAATATTAAAATATCTATTCTACTTGTGTATATTAAAAAACAACGTTTTGCACCTTAATTTTACATGTTCACAGTACTACCAAATCTAAACGAATGACGAAATAAGCGTGAATGTGTTACACAAACTGATACTTCTGTCGACTAATTGTTATAGGATTCTTCTTGAAAATTTACTACATTTAATTAGAACTCTCGTAGGGCTCTGAAGTTGTAAAGTTGAAGTAGAGAGTTTAATAAAATCCAAAATCCAGTGGACCTATTATAATTTTTAGAAGAAGAAATAAATGAATACCAGAAAAAGTTTAGTTGTTAGCTCTAAGAGCTCATTGGCAAGGCCATGCGGGTACTAACCACACAAATGCCGATGCAACTACCAGAAAAAAACCTACGTCGGGATCAGGAATGTCTCTTCACACGGGCACGCGAAAGCCTGCATGCTGGTAATTTCGGAACACGTGGTGTGATCCAGCTCGATCGTGTGAAAAATGGTGGATCTACAGTGGAACCCAGCGTCTAACCGACCACCCAATGTCACGCTCCTACTTGTGAAGAAAGTCACTAAATCGGGGCAAAAAGGGGAAAAATCGAATAGCTGTGGGGGGAAATAGTACAGCTAGCGAACCAGCCAAACGAATACTATGAATAATTAATGTAATTATGATCTTAGAGGCTCTCCTGATATATGACAACAATAAATGAGATAAAGTACTAATGCAACGATGAATTTTTAGTTTTGTGTTAATGAAAATGTTATCATCATATTTATGGGATTTTTGTAATTATAAAGATCACCATCTCTGTCACAATTTCTCAGTCTCACTTGTTGCATTTTGTTTCATTAAAAGAATACCACAAATAATAATAGTGCGCCTTTATAGTACCAAACTTGTTTGCATTAAGAAAATCAGAATTGAATAAAAAGGGAAAATGAAAAGAAAGGTCTGTGTTCTTGTTAACCTAACCTTGAATATGTGGGGATGTGGCCTTAAACTGAAGTCTGGACGCACCCTAATTTGCTGAGATACAGACTGACATTCTTGCCCAAGGGTCTTCGAGAACGTACCCCGCGAGAGTGCTCTTGAAAGTAGGTGCTTTGTTAGGGATAACCGAACTTTTATGGTTCAGCCTGTGCAGAAACAAGGCTAAATATTTAATCACAAATCTGAGATAAAAATTTGTTAGAAATAGGAAAGCCATCGTACATCAAAATGAACCAAGTACCAGATTATCCGATAACAACATTTGCTAAAAACAAATGAAAAAAATTCATAAGAAACAAGTTTCTCTTCATTTATAGTGAATCACCATTATAGTACACGAATACCTGTGGTAGTAACTGTATAGACAAAAGGACACAAGTTTGATGTGGAATTCTATATTTGATATTTTCAAATATCACTCTATATTTGATATTTGACCAAACTAACAATAAAATGAATAAATATAAACTAACTATAATATAATTAATCCCATTCGACCGTTTAAAGTGTTCGATGTTTTATTTACGATCTCACTATGTCACGTTCTACGAATTATTCTGAAGGTTACTAGAGGGTTGTTTCAGCCCCTACATATAATAATTCGTATTTTATGTATTTCCTATATTTTTGCATCTAAAGTGCATTCTATAATTTTTTGGGAATTCAAATTTCCCATAAATGCATAAACATCCGCAGTCTATTGTATTTTTCCTTTCAAAAACTGCAATATTTTCAACTCCACAAAACTTTTTGCCCTCAGGGGGTGGTTGTAATTGGCAGCGTTCTGGTTTTCCTCCAGCATTGTCTTCGGCAAAAAAAAAAAAAATAGATTTTACACGCGCAATGGAAACCCATGTTGCATTTTCCAATGAAACGACCCGATCGTAAAACGCGCGATATAAGGTAGAACAATCGACCGCATAGAATAACTTCGAACGTCGATCGTCGGTTTCACGGGGCCGCCGGCAGACATTTCGCGGAATAAAATTCTTGTCGACGGGACGGCGTAGGTCAGCAGGCATCGCCTAAAACGCAAATATCAAACATGCCGTATTCTGGCCGCAGACACGTGGAATGCACGCGTCACACTAGCGACCGGGAACCGTGTTCACATTCGGTTTCCATTTCGAATATCCGGCTTAGGCAAGTGCCGACCGCAGCCTCCGGTATAGTATCGAATGCGGCTGCCTCTCCCTTGTCCCTTACATCCCTTTCCTCCCACGCCATCTCCATTTCCCTTTTCCCTCGGTCTGTCTTACTCCTTCCTTTCTCCAGTCACATTTCTGCTCTCTTCATTTTTCCACCCCACCCCGCCCAGTCGTCCTCTTTTCCGCTTTCTGGCTTGTTATCATCGTGTCTCATTTCTCTTTGCACTTCCTCCCTCCGTGCATGCAACGTACAGCGGCACATTTACGTATAGTTCCTTCGCGTAGTTTATTTTCCGTATCGACTCCGGTTCCGTTAGCGTCTCCTCAGCCATGGCGTATGGAATATGGATTACGCCCGGTTTCCGTTTCGTCCCTCCTCCTTTTCATTTTGCATCCGGGTCGCGGCAAGTGGCACAGTAATTCCTGCGCTCGAGCGACAATCTTTACGCTCCGCTCCGGGGACGAAATCATCCCCCTACTCGTGCTTCTTCGACGCTGTCGATAATCCAAAACTTTTTTACGAGCGGGCCACTCTATTTTATTATAAAAAACAACGAAGACTCGAAAATATAGCTTTGAAAATTCTTTGATACCAATGCGACTGCGTTTCCAAAAGTTAATCTGGCGCGAATTTTGTGCACGTTTACTAGGGCGAGTTCCATATTTTGTACGTGGAGAAGTTTTTAAATCAGTTTCTATTCAAATTCTAGCAACTATATTTTGCGTATTAAAATATTCCAATTTCTATGGAAATTTTCCCACAAAAGCTGAAACACTGAAATTAAAAATTTCTATATTATTGTTTTAAAATGTTTAACCCTTTGCCATATTGTACCATAGCTCCACTCGAGTTTCATATCTGATGACACAAATTGAATTTAGAAAATATATAAATAAAATTTTAATTATAGGTATTTATACATTTTATTATTAAAATAAGAATCGTAGTTTCTCCATCATTGGTCTATGACAAGTACTATAACTTTTTGATGGGAACTAAAATTATTAAACTAGTCAAAAATTCTCTTACTGGAGAAGAAACATAACACTACTCAGGGTTTATTCAGAAACATTCAGAAAAACACAGGTCACGAATATTAAATAAAAATATTACTAGTTTGAATAGAAGGCTACTCCAGTAAACTCTTAGTTGTGACTTTTAATCCTGATCAATCGCAGATTAGAGATCCAGGTCAATTGATGTAGATCAGAACGCGGAGCAAAGGGTGAACAGCGAATTAATTGAAATTCTCTGGTTCAATATTAATTAATGCACCAGCTGCATTTAGGTCAACCGTTGATTCACTGTCACGTAAATAATGCACCCCTCTTACATTCCACTTAAATGGTAATTTTTTTCTTTAAAGAATCAAACCATAATACAAATTGTACAAAATACAAAATTAATTTAAGCAATATATTTTTCGATTAAATGTAAGAAATTTATGTATTCGTCAAAATTATTCTGGGTCTGGAACGTAAATAAATGTTGCAAAAATAAGTGCTGGATTTATTCTGACAGGATCTGCTACGGAACCCTTATCGATGAGTTCTGTTAGCAGATTTAGAACGTAACGCAGTAATGTTGTTCCGTGTAATTAAATTATATTTTGTCTTCTTTTCTTGTTGCAGGCGGAGGAGTTGAACACCCTTGTCGGCAATGCATTTCGTATGGCATACGTGGCGCAACTTCAGCGCCAGCCGATCCTTCACGATGTGATCTCACCGCAATCGTCGCCACCCTATCGCAAGGACAAACAGGAGACACGGTCTTCGTGGGTACGTTTTTTGTCCTAATTCCCACGCTAACAGTTCCGTTTTCCTCAATCTTAATCGCAACGAGTGTCAAACGACACGATTAATAGCCACTGATTGATCTAAAAGAACTCGAAAAGAAGAGGATAGAAATTGAAACAGAAACATTAGAATTTCGATGATCGTTCAACGCTGTGAAATTCTACTAATATTTGTAACATAAATTTTCTCTTAGAAGTCTGAAAAAATTATTTTACCACTGTTATTAGTAATGCACAACAACGAAGAAACATTTTCTAAAGTCTGCTTGACAGGTCCTCAAACGAAGAAATCTGGAGGACCTTAGACTGACAAATAAGCAGACCATGCAGTTGTCATTTTCCAATTTAATGTGAAATTGCATAAATATTAACTAATGACAATTACTGTTATTATTATCTGCTGATTATTTACTTCTTTTAGAAGTGTTTACATTTTCTCGACAATCCGTATCTCCTATCCTGGACTTCTAAACAACCATTTGTGGTTAAAAAATTCTTTCATGTATCTTTTCATTACTTAATTCGTAGTATATTCCATTTAGGATGTTCTTGTTGAGAAAGGCATGCTACAGGACAAAGGAACGTGAATAGGTTTCCGTGCATAAGAAATAAAATGAATTTGTACGCGTTAAGTTTTTTTTCTAAATATCTACACGCTAGGAAAAGGGAAAACGTAGTCTAACGCGGTTTCATAGGGGCCTCCGGCTCCAGTAGATGTGTCCCATTTACTAGCCGCGTTAATTATAAATTCGACCTGAGTCTCTTGGCCCCGTCGAGTCTCCAAGTAAACGGTCAGCTCATCGCGGGCATGTCCGCTAGTTCTACCTACGCAATTGTCCTGGGAATTGTAGGATTCTGTCGATAAACTATTCATCGGCTTCCAAGTTTCGTCAAATGAAAGGCTTTCAAACTATACTCGAGACAAAATTGGTAAGTAAACTTCGAGGTCGCCACGCGATCTCTCGCGCAGATCCTTTGAAGCGTGTTAAACATTCGATGCAAGTCCCATTTTCGCCTTCGTGATCGTGCATTCTTAGAAATACTCGTTCTATCTTCGTGGAAATAATTAATAGATACATAGTGTTGCAACGATTAAAACGTAAAGTTGTATAAAATGATAGATGTAAACGTAAAGTTGATTAATGTTTCAAATTTTATTGGATAGAGTTCAGGTGAATGTCAATTTTTGGGTTACTGTGGATGAGAAATCGTTAGTTATCGATGATTTTACAAAGACTTTCTACTTGTCAAATTTTGATCGTCTACGTGCACTTTCCAACGATCAACTTAATTTTTTTAGTTAAATATTTGGAATTAGGTTTTATAAATATTCTTTTACGAACATTTAGAAATTGATTTAGCAATGGATTAAGAATATGAAAACGATAAAAGGAGTTCGTAGTAAAGCTTATTGGTGGACATGTTTGTACCGTAGTAATTCGAATAAATTAATTTCCATACCTGACGACGGTGGAATTATAATTTTCTATATACGCTTTATCACATGGACTTTTGCCAGCTAAAGTTCAAATGACTAAGTTCACACTACCCCTTCTTCTTCTTGGCACGCGTCTTGTTTTCGCGCGCCAAGGCATTCGATGGTTGGTGTAGCTTTTGTTATTAGAATTATTATTCCAATATTTTCTAAAATCGGGGCAGCATCTTGTGATCCAAGGAAATTTTGTTATACTTCTCTCCATTAATGCACCAATCGTCGAAATTTAATTTTCTTGGGGTAGATTTGTCTCGTTAAACTTTAAACCTATCACTTGGACGCAACAATTTTCTATTTTCTTAGATGAATACATTCGAAAAATATAGGAAACCATAACTTTTATCGGCGACTACCGAGGAGGGATTCGAAGAATGTGCCGCTTTAGTATGCATGACTGCACGTAACGTTACTGAATGCTGTGCGCGTGAAAACAATATATGTATAAACGCGATATACTATACGTTTCTATAGAATGTTTCAGTATTATGTTCTTTTAGTTAGTAGTTATTATTAACATGCGTTTAAAACGATGGGAAGTATACGTTCCAATTGTCCATAATTAAGAATTGTAAATGTAGGTATCGGAATTCCATTTATGAAACATGTATTTTGTATAGTCGCTCTCAAACATAAATTTACACGTATAGAGAAGGAAAATTATTTTTGTTTGCGGAGGTCAATTACAATCATTTCATAACACCGAAATCCTACGCACTTTCGCTATTTTCAAACGACCATAACTCCTACAATAGTGCATGTATCTCATTGAAATTTAATTGTGAAGTAGAGCTCATAGATACCTACAAAAAAGTATTAAATAACATGTTCGTAGACCGTCAAACAAATTTATTAAAAATCAAAAATAAATTTTTAAGAAAAATCGACAACGGGATAGGTGCTGAAATTTTTCGACGAAAAAAAAAATTGTCAAATCGTTCTGGAAAAATTATTTTCGGTTGCGGGGGTCAATTACAATCATTTTTGACGAATAGACATACCCTCGAATTCCTACGCACTTTCGAGAAAAAAAATTCTGTACCGAAAATATAAGGTGTGCTTCTTATGTTCATTTTTGTAATCTGTTGATATTTTTGCAAGTGACACGAAGACGGTGATGGGACTTCAGAATCCCATAAAAATGGGCCGAAAAATTACATTGGATGTAAGGGGTACTCGTATACCTAGTCTGTGGTAAAACACCCAATTTTCGAATCTAGTTAACGGTTTGATTTTCGTCTGTTACAGAACAAATCGCTACCTGGCGACAATTCGATCGCCGGCGTAGGAGGCGGTTGCAGAAATTCGTCGTCGAATTCGTGGCTAAAAAGTCGAACGTCGCCCACGTCCAGAACTGGAAGCGGTTCGTCTGCGGCGGACATGAACGTACAGCTCGGCAGTGCCGGCTCGCCCACGCTGCGACTCGCCAGCGTGAAGGTAGCTTACGTCATTTTGTTCCCCCCGTATTTCCGCTCAATGGCTTTTCAAGAAACATATGATGCTATTTCACGCCACTATTCGCCACGCTTTTCGAGCCAGACTTAAACAGAGTCGTCGTTTCGCCAGTTCGTTGGCGCCATTATAGTCAAAACCTCCCAAGATACGAACACTCGGATATACACTAATGATTTAAATTATATCGAATTTATACCATCGACTTTGGTCAGTCAATTATTTATTTAGTTATGGGTAATGAAATTACCCTTTGGTATAAATAAAATTAGGCGGGGTTTGAAAAAATTATAATCTAGTTTCTAATGGTATTAAACAGGGGGTATCTTTCAACAACCAAAGTTCATCGATATATTTCAGTAGTATAAATAAGAAAAAGAATTACTCGATACCTGAGTAAATAGGAATTTACGTGAATTTTAATTTTCATAACCTCTTTATTTTTGTGTAAATATTTGTAAATTCTACCCTGAAAATTACTTTGGAATTCACCAATTATTGTTCACGCAGATATAAAGCATTTAATTTCGACTTGTATAAAAATTGTAGTACATTTTAGACTTTTGTCAAAGACAGAGGATCCTGCAGAGAATTCAAGATAAAATGAATGTCAAATTCTATGGTTTTCATGAATTTTTTTTAAGCGAACGCTACGTCTAACGTTGTGATTCTTTTTTTTTTTAATATTTTACATCACAAATAGTTAAAATTTTCCGAACGATTATGTAGACTTATTCACAAGTTAAATAATGTGACGACATAGTGATCTTGTCGAGATCTCGATGATGCTTCGTATTCAAATTATGTCGATACTATAAGAAAGTAAAGAAAGATGACAACTTATTTCGATACCAAATTGATATTTCCACATTAATGAATATTTCACAGGTTTGGTACCATCATTAGTAACATACTAGACATCAAATTCAATCTATTCCAACGTCTGTATTTGCACTCAGCTTGATGTATCTTGTTATTTATTGTATTACACGTTTTGTTGACCGACGTGTCGTCGATCGCTTCATTCATCGAAGTAGTCTCACCTTATTAATTTGACATAAAACAGTCTCCATGGCGTACACTCGTCGCGGCCATGCGCAACGACATTCATGATCCCACGAAATTCATTCAGAATTACGGTGGACGGGTATAAATAATCAATATCTCATTAACCGTTCAACGCGTTCGAAAATTCTTAGCATACATCGAATCGTGTAACAATCTTCTAAAATTGCTCTCGTTGATCTATGACTGATCTTCATCAAATTATGTGTCGAAGGAATAACTTTGAATTCTCAAGAGCGTATTTATAAGAAACGTAATGATAAAACAATATTTAAGATCGTAAACAATAAATTAGATACACTCGTGACAACGCAATAAAAATAATCCAGTCATCTTTTAATGGTAATTTAACGCAGTCCAATTTAAAAATAAAAGTCTTCGTTTTAAAGGTCCAACAATATTCCTATCAAAACTCACGTTGAATATATTTTTCGTGGATTAGCCAACAGTATGTTCTTGCTTTAGATTTGCATTTTCTTACAATTCCTTCGTGAATCTTTTCGTCGCTTAATTCAAGGTACGTTCTGTTTACAACAATTTCGACGTTGAAAAATGTAAAGGCTACCGCGAACAGGTGCTGAAACCTGTCTCTTGTTCATCTAGTGGTATCTCATCCGGAACTCGGATCGTTCTTTTTCTCGCAAACTGGTCCTCCTTGATACAAAGATTCCTTAGCTGCAAGTTTGCGTCCACGGCGTCGCAAGTTTGCATACATTAGTCTTGCGTAGTAGTGCAACTAATTTAAACTCGACTGCTGCCTCCGTGTAATGTCACACAGCATCGTACGATAACAGCTTAGCCGCCCGTAACTCCTTAACTTCTAGCAAAAAGAGTACTTCTCTTGGCCGGAACTTGAAAAATCAGGAACATTACATTTTTTGCGATATTATCTTTACGCTCGAACGTTTTGTACGTCCGTACTGGTGGTCCACGGGATCGGAGTTTACGGATAAAGCATTAACAAAACGCATTTGGAATTCAAAAGAAAGATACAAGGCATGCATCCCTGATGCATCCCCATTTCTTTCGTTAGTACAAATGATGGTCTTTGTGGCTTCCGGGTAGGAGCTGTATCCTTAATGAAAGACATCCCGACGTTTTACTAACATGTCATCTAGGTTCATCAAAGAGCTGGATAACGCGCATTAATACCAACGTGTATCCTGTAGTTCTTGTCTATACAGAGTGGCTCTTCTTCGTACTGATTCTTAGTACGAGAAGAGAAAATTCTTTTTATTAGGCTGCTCGTTATCAAAGAAACCAACGAGTCTGTCGATCATCAGTCTACTCGATTAATAGTAAATATCAAGCACAGGTGGTATTTTTAATAAAATAATTTTAATTTTTTAATAAAATTAAAAAGTGTTACTATCCATTATTTTTTAATTTTTAAAATTATCTTTCTCGTGTATGAAAATTGTTTACTTAGCCTAAGATCTATTTATCGATTAGCTAAAAAATTAAAAAACTAAGTAGTACTCTATTTATAACGCTCAATAATCCCCAATAATTTCTTGGATTTTACGGAGGTGACGTTATTTACCAATATTTCTGTTAGCCACGCCCAATCGATAGATCAAAATCGAAAGATATTTTCTCACCGAATGCTAGGGATCGTTGGAAATTAATAAGTATTCTACGAACGTCGGCAGGGACTCGGGCTATTAATTGAATCCCATCTGGAACATAGTCTTCCCAGTTTTTTTAATTGCTCGACTGATCGATTAAATGATCTGTGACCGTCGACCGATAATCCATAACGCGAACATTGGTATCTTAAACGGACAAGAACTACGCGACGCACACCAGCGCGCGGCATCTGACCTCCCCAGCTAGCTGAAATGTTAGTAAAACGTCGGGATGCCTTTGCAAAAGAACAGAGCTCACGCTTGGAATCTTCAAACAGTGACATCCGCAAGAACCCAAACCGTGAAAGCATCAAAAATCTTTTTCGTTGGTGTCAGTCACGTTTACACCGTATATGGCGGAGTCAACGGAAGGATCAACTCGGCTGGCAGAAAAAGTTGCAGGAACGAGAATCTCCACCCTTTACTTTCCTCCGACCGTCCAGAAAACTCGTGGTAAAGGATTCGAAACATTTTACGATTTTATGATTGCCCGACGACGTTTACATTTTTGCTTCGTACGGCTTTTCGTTGGTAATATTTATTATTATTAATTCAATAGGGAATAATTCTCATAAAAACACATACATATATCGTAGTCAAGATTGGATTAATAATATAGCTGTACCTCGCCTTTGCACCCAATATGTACTTATGTTTATATAATATATTATCAATTCTAGTTTTCAAGTGTTTAGAAGTTTGAAGACGTATTATTATTATATACTGATTACCTTTCAACGTCCATTTAATTCTGATTAACTAGCCAGTGTTCTTCAGAGTCTCACAGTAGAAACATCGCTTTAATCAGGGAATTATCCACAGAATTCAATTAAGGAATAAAAATAAATTACATAAAGATTTCTTTACCAACACTACACACTATGGGTAGCTTTTTATTAAAACGGATAATTTAATTTTGCAGTGGATTTACATTTGTGAAATAATACTCAAAATTGATGTTCGTTCTCGTATTAGTAAAAATACATTTTATACAACTATTTTCTTTAATAAACGAACGTGTAAAATAACTCACACGAAGCGAATAATATTTCCCTGTATGTATTCATAAATCTTCTTATAAATAGGAAAATGTATTTTATTCAACTACTTCATTGAAAAATTAAATTCTTGTTCATATAAGAAGCGAATGAAAGAATCTGGAAAATATCTTATTTTATGTAGATGCTTGCAGGTCTTCGTATAAATAGTGAAGTATATTTTATTCAATTCCAGCATTTAAACATTAAATACTTCTTCTTTAACGCGAGGAACAGTGCAGTAAAAAGAGAAATTTTATAGGCACTTTCTAGATAGATTACAAGCTTCCAGAACTCTGTTGCATAACGTACTTCCTTCGGATGAACAGTGTTCGTTAAATACAACCAGTGGAAGAGAAACTTTCTTCAAAGAAAAAGTTTAAACAGACTTTCTATGAAAATAATCAAGATGGGATGTGGTGAATCTTCCCATATAATTGTTACCACTTTACTAATATAAGAAAATAAATGAAAGCATCGAGTGGCTGTACGAATCCTGAATCTTCTTTTTTATCAAAATTGTGGTCAATTTATAATTGTTTAAAATGAACAATTTTCTGATGCATTAACACGTATCTAAACATGTTTGCTACCTGTACATGCATAATTATGAAGTGATGCAGTGATGATCCCAATATATTGTAAAACAAAAAATCTGTTGACAATCTGTTTAATAAAGCTGTTAATTTCCTGCTAAAATGTTTACTTATTCAAATTAATGTTCTCTGTACTATTTATTTTCTAATAAATTTTATTTTAAGCACTGTTTCTAATTTCTATCTTAAATTTATCTAACGAAACGCATTACACGGTGCAAATAGAAAATAATCGTAATTCGTTCATTATAATCTGCCGCATTAACCGGCTGACTGTATTTTGTTGGTTGACCATGCTGTGCGTTTGTTCGGGTAACCGTAATCGTATTACCGCTATATCCGAGTACTATTTGGTTTACCGAGTATTCGGTTATCCAGATATCAAAAGCTCTGATTAGGTGACGAAGTTCAATAAACAACGGTGTTCGGTAAAATGCGAGCAACCGGTTAAAAAGCTTTATTCGAGCGCGTGGAAATAATTTTACTTCCATTGGGATCTCTCGTTAAACGTTGACAACAAACTAAACGAATATGACACTTCAAAAATGTACTAAATAAATCATTGTTGCATTATGTGAAATATGCTTTTCAAATCTTTAACGATTCACAAGATTCACATGTTTACGATTACATTAAAATGCGATTTTAATTAGAATATACAGAATATCTGAAAAAGGTTAAAACTAAACTTATGTCCAAAATTGTATTTATTGAAGAGATATTAGCTTAAATGTTTCATATCCATCGAACTCTTTCAAATATTCCATCTGTATTGGAAGCAATAGTAAATGCATTTTGAATACATTCTCGATCGAACATTTCTTACAAATAAATCATAAATATCTTTAAAAGCTATCTATTCATTAAAGCATTATCGAACACAAGTTTATATGAACTATCGTTATCTATTTGACTCTGCATATTCATATCAGTGCATCAATAAAATTCAAATTGCTAACAATATTTACGAGTTATGTTACTTAAAATCGACGAGTTGCTTGCCAAAAACGAGTGTTGACCAACGTATCTAAGAATTCCAACTCCCTTCGACATTTGCAAGCTATATGGCGATATGTAACGAGTGTCTTCTTTGCATTGAACCAGACACCGAACTCGATCCCAGGTCTACGGCCGACGCACAACTTCACGAACGTTCTCGGCCCCATAACGAACGAGGACGAACCAAAGAGTATCTCTCAGCAAAGTACACCGAGCAGCGATGAGAGCAACTCGCCGACGGAACTGAACTCGTACAAGAGGCTAACGGACAAGCCGCCTCTGATAAAGCGGCTGGCGATGGGTTTGACAGGTGGACGTGACGTTCTTGGACTAAACGGTGAGGATGACAGCTGCCCCCTCGTCAGTGGTAGTAGTACGCCGACGAGCCCCTCGAATAGGCCGCATTCTGGGGGTTACATAAACGAGGCGATCATCGACTCGGAGGGCACCAGGCCTACCTACAACAAGATCCCCCCCTCAGAGAGTCTGGACAACACTATCAACGCGTCCATCACCGCGAAAAACTTCAACATTGAGAACAACAGGTAACGAACGTTGATCATCGGTTGCCTCCGTCAACTCTATAGTACGCTGAGAAAATGGGGCAAAGTTACCCTCGAGTCGAGCAAGTGTGGGATTACGGTTGAGTACTTGTTACAGTGATGATTCGTAAAATGAACGTGTGATTCGTAAAATGAACGCGTGACTCGTAAGTTGAACGTTTTTATGAAGGGGGCATTTAAAAACGATATTGTTGTGTATAAATGCCTGCTGATGTCGAAAGATGAGCTAAGAGTGATGTTCATTTTAAGAATCTTTACTAAACTGCGGGTGTTTGTGCATTTATGGGGGAAAACTACAGAATGAACTTAATGTACAAAAATATAAGATTTAAAGATACGACTTATTATATTTAGGGGTTGAAACAACCCCCTAAATATGAATTTGCATAAATATCCACAGTCTAATCATCACTGTACCATGTATACGCTGTAAAATCTAGTCTTGATCGAATTTTTTACAGCAGTGAAACCTAAAAACAGATATATTTCATGTGAAAAGATAGTCCCTTAATAAATATATAATTAAAAGTAATGGAGATATCGCTACTCTGCAGCTATTATTCAGTATAACGTGTGCAGTCGGAAGTCAGGGGGATCGTTCACACAATCGTCTCATCCGTAGTCATTTTGACTAAACAAAGAAGAGAACATCGACTGTAATTTACCTAAATTACTCCTGGGGTCAAACAGTCCCCACCAGAGCAACCATGTTGTAATTTTTAACCAGACAACTGAATTCCGATTTATGCATGCAGTAGCTACGCGAATTGTAGAGTCAGGGTGAATAAATTTGCAAACGATTTGAATAGGCCCCATTGGTTAAAGCAGTCGTTCCGGTAACCAAAAGATCTAACTGTAAAAGTTAGGAGACCTAGATGTTTAGAAAATGTTCAAATGTAGCGTGAAAATCAAGTAGCAATCTATCGAGAAAGATTTTAAACAAACAGTAGCTTCTTTCGTAATTATTCAAAAAAATTTTTTAATTAGACTTTCTTCAGAATTGTTCAAATCAACCTTTACAGTTGAATAAAACGAAAATACTTGAAAGGTGTGTAATACTACTTTAATTAAAAATGCTGTAAAATAATATATTGAATTATCGAATGTTTCTATGTTTCACGCTATAATCTAAATAAATGTCGAGAACGTCTTTACACACTGAAAACACTGACGTGTGACGTTCGTATTAAACGCTCATTTTTTAATCGTTACTTGAAACGTCCAACCAGCTAAGAATTTTGTTTATGATTATTAAGAATAGTTGTGTTGAACCTACAGGATAGGACACAATTCTCCAAATTCGGGTACTGAAACGGAATTCAAGTCGAAGAGAAGATCCCAAATTAGTACTTCGAGCAGTTCGGTACCTGCTGACGGAAGTACTCATGGATCGACGCCAACACCACCGCCCCTACCTGAAAGAACGGACAGCTTGAACAATCGCAGCGAGGAGGCTGAATTGCGTAAAGCTCCCTGGTTCCAGGCCGGAATACCGAGGTTTTTAATTATTTCTTTCCCCAACTACGTAAAACTCATCGTTCTTAAAAGAATATGGAAAGAAATACAGTTCCCTCCGTATAAAATTCATCCCAAGTTGTGCAACTTCCTCGCATTTGTTCCTTTCCTTTCTCGTGTTTCGCGCGGAAACTAAATAACGATGAAACGAAACGGAAGATCACGAGTTATATTCTGGGCAACGTAACATATAATTTCCATCCGAGAATCAACATTCAAAGAAAACGGAGAAATTGTAAGAAAAGGATAAGAAAATTTTAAACAATTAACAAGAATACCGTAATAGTTGTATAATAAAATTTATATTAACAACCATGTATTTTCACTACGGAAAACAAATATAAATAGGAATCTCGAATATTTAACTAGAAAAATAAGTTCTATGGCAAATTGTGGTAGTTTCCCCTTGTCTAAAAACAAAGTTACGTGGATAATTTCAGGGGTTAAAACGTGAAAAAAATAATTAAACGAGAAAAGAAAATTTTTCAAAGGGACTTCCAGTCATCGATGAATAATTAATTCAGTAATTTCGTAGGTGAACGAGACTCGCGCGTCTCGCCGTCGGATTTTTGCGAACAAAATAACTACTTTTTATAGTTGGGCGATATACGACGTCGTTACGCAGAATTATGATCGGCGTTTCGTTGCGGTCGTTATTTTTCCCGCTTATTTATACGGATTTGCATTTTCACGGTGTCACGGTCATTTATGATTCCAGGGAAATAACGTTGGAAGTGTTGAGCCAGGAGCCGGAAGGAGCCTTCATGGTGAGGGAGAGCACCAGTAAACCCGGATGTTATGCCCTTTCGCTTCGAGTGCCGCGCGAATTCCAACCAAGCGGAATAGCCCATTATCTTATAATGCGTACGAACAAAGGCTACAAAATCAAGGTAAATCCTCCTTCGAGCCTTCGTAGGATAGTCCTTCTTTCGAAAGACTTTAAACACCTGTAAACCCCGTCTGTGCTTTATCCGCGGTAATCGCCACTTTCACTGCAACGGGTTAAATTCATGTTCTGCTACGATGACTTATTTCACAGCGAACAAGATGGAAACGACCTAGTAATTGAACGTCCATAAAGCCAACTTGTGTAGACACTTTCTCTTTAAACACATAAACCGAGTAGGTGCGCGATTAGGCAGAGTGTTAGTTTTCGCGATTAGCTTATACTTTTCAACTATAATCTACGTTTTACCAGTAATGTATTTTAAGGAACGATTCTAAAGATCAAAGTACTCTTATTAAAACTTGATTGTCAGGGATGGAGAAAACATCCTGTGAAAGGGTCGAAGGTGCTCGATGTTTCGTAATAATCGACGTTAATCTCTGCAAAAGTATGGTTTCATTTTCGAAATATCATAATGGAGATACCGTGCAAGCAGAAAGTTACACGCCGGTTGTCCATTTTGTCGGTTCGGGAGTATGCGTATTTAAATGATCGAACTTCCCTTGTAGGATAAATTAAATGGGTCCGCGGACTTTGATAATCTCTGAAACCAGTATAAATGAGTTCCGTCGGGCCGCAGGGAAATCAAAACTCTCCCCTCTCTTTTCGTCGGGAATTGCATTGCCGTAGCAACACGCCATGAGGTTCCGAATACGTACGACACATGATAATTTTGACGTTGGTTCGTTTAATGGACAAATAATGCATTGCGTGGAATCGAGCCCGCGACCTCTAACGACGCGAACAGAGAACGCAGAGTTACTTCCACTCTTTTCCGTGCACTATAATAGTAATTCACTATAAATGGGAAAAAACTTGTTTCTTAAGAATGTTATTTTTGAAAGTGGTATTTATTTTTTCATACGTTGAGATATTTAAAGGTTTGTGCTTGAGTAAATTAAAACAAAAGTTTGTCAATGGTTGTGGTACGTTGAAAACTACGATCATTGTTCCATCATCGACGTGCAGCGGCGCGGCGATGGCCGCGTGCAGTCTAGATGGGTGACCGCTTGAAAAAACATCGCGCATTATAATTGTTTTATTGTTATATTATTATTGTATATAGTTTTTATATTATTTATCTATATCGGTTTTACAATTGGGCATCATTTATTGTTACCATTAAAATAGCAATAAACAAAAAAAAAACTACTTCCGTAAATAGAAAAAATAAACATAGTGTAATAAAAAAGACATTTAGGTAAAAATAAAATTGGGAAAGAGTTTATAAGGATATACAAAGCTACTTAGAGAATAAAGAAGTAAGCACAGTAGTCTAATAAATAACATTTAAAAAAAATGTGAAAAATGAAAGAGTAACTGTAACTCTGTAATCGAGAACGATAAGTAGAAATAAAATGTTGTGTCCCCTAGGAAAATTAATAATTAAAACTTTACCTACAGTTAGAAAAGAATAATCACTGAAAGAACAGAATTACTACTGGTAACAATATACAGTGTGTTCGGCCACCCCTGGGCAAAATTTTAATGGGAGATTCTAGAGACCAAAATAAGACGAAAATCAAGAATATCAATTTGTGGATTGAGGCTTCGTTAAAAAGTTATTAAAAAATTAAATTTAAAAATTTCAAATTGTTGTGTAAAAATGATTTTCAGTTGTGGGGGTCAATTACGATCATTTTTGGTGAACAGACATAACCTCGAAATCTTAACCACTTTCGAAAAAAAAATTCGAGTAGGTGGACAAAATCAATAAAATTAAAAATTTAAAAATCGTTATAAAAAAATTATTTTCGATTGCAGGGGTCAATTACAATCATTTTTGGTCAATAGACATATCCTCGAAAACCTAACCATTTTCGAGAAAAAAATTCCTTACCGAAAATATAATTTCAAGCCAGAAATGTTACTCCAACATTTCATGCGTATCTTTAAAACGTTATAACTTCTGAACGGATTGGAGGATTTTAATGTTTCAAAATGCAAACTACGCGTATTTTAGTGAAGAATGTGTAGAAATTCTAAAATTATTCGGAATGTTGTTCCATGACACCTTAAAGTGAGAAAAACCCCATAAAATTAGCCCAATTTTCAAACAGCCATAACTCCGACAGTAGCGAATATATTTCAATGAAACTTTTTTCTGAAGTAAAGCTCATGGGTACCTACAAAAAAGTATTAGACAACTTTTTTGTAGGACGTCAAACAAAATTGTTAAAAATCAAAAACGTATTATTAAGAAAAAACGACAGGTGCTGAAATTTTTTGGCAAAAAAAAAATTTCAAATCGTTCTGGATAAATTATTTTCTGTTGTGGGGATCAATTGGAATCATTTTTAGTGAATACGCATACCTCCGAAATCCTTCGCACTTTCGAGAAAAAAATTCAGGAAGGTAGACAAATTCGACAAAATTAAAAATTTCAAATCGTTCTAAAAAAATTATATTTGGTTGCGGGGATCAATTACAATCATTTTTTGTGAATAGACAAACCCCCGAAATCCTACGCACTTTCGAGAAAAAAATTCCTTACTGGAAATATAATGTATGGCCAGAAATGTTTCTCTAACTTTTTAACGAAGCCTCAGACAAGAAATTGATATTCTTGATTTTCGTCTTATTTTTACCTCTAGAAACTCCTATTAAAATTTTCCCCAGGTGAGCACCCTGTATAACGGACATTGGTAATAATCGTGCTTCTTTAATTTGTGTTTCAGGGCTTCACGAAGGAGTTCACGACGCTCACTGCCCTAATTACTCACCACTCCGTGATGCCTGAATTACTGCCGTGCCCATTGTCACTGAGTCGATACAATCCTAGCTTCGTGAAGAGCGATTCCAACAAAGACTTCGCGGACATCGATTCGGATCCCGATTACAATACCCTAGCCGACTTCCGGAAGATGATGGCTGACTTGAACGTGTAGAATGAAATCTCTAGGGAATCGAAATGATACGGTAAAGAAGAAAATCGATTCGAAGCTTACACGTTCCGAGAGACCATACGAGACTGAATTGAATTACGCTTTGCGAATGGAACCTGTACACCTGGTTACACACCTGGGTGTCACGACGCGTTCGGAGACAGGAGGAATTCACGAAATCTCGAGGAAGTGCGCGTTCGATCTTGAATTCTGTGTCGCTCGTAACGATCGACAAGCTGGGGAATTTCTTGACGATCGACAGGCGTGTCGCAACGATACACACACTCTGTACTCGAAAACGAAACACATCGTGGTGATACGTATTTCGTAAGTCGTCGATAGCTGTAAGGTACTATTAACGGAAACGACAGCGAATCAAAAAGTCGGAGGACGCACAGCAGGGAAACCGATTCCTTATTTTATAGATCGATTCGCGGAGTTTGCTCTTAAGGCGCAACGGGAGAGACCGTCTGGCAACAATTTCACTTTGAATTGAAATGCCAACGAATATGTTAGTTGGCCACGAGTGTATTCGTTGGCACGAAATATCTTAGAGGCGTTAACATATCCTGCACGACACGCGAGCTCTGCAAAAGGAAATCTCGATGAATGACTAGTTTGCAGCATTTTTTACGCGAAACGAACAATTATTGCGAGAATGAGATGAGTATATTTTTGAATGTTACTTGTGAATGTCTATTGAATGGATTTCGTTTTGAATGAATCTCGTGAAACTGTATTGGTGTCACGATACGGTCGCATTTAATTTAGAAATAAAAAAAAAGAGAGTTTTACCGGCAACGTTGCATCAACCAACGACGATCGTTACCTAGAAATGATACTGTGGCTTGAAATTTACTGTTGAAATACTATCAGGGATGAGTAACGCGTTGAATGTATAATTTTGAATTAGTCGAATACATCGACGCTGCAATTATGTTTTCGCTGATTTTCGATCGACCGTTAAGAAGAGAAACGAGATTTTTAAGGTTCTGTCAAATAACGTTTCGCACGACTAAACAGCGTGTTCCGAAATTAATGTACATGTGTTTATATGTATATAAATTATAATTATTGTTATATCATACTACTTATATTTAATTAAACGAACTCAACGGCAGCGTTAGAATGGACTGTATCCTTGGAACACTGACGAGACGTAGAATTCCAAGAGCATCGAGGCCGATTGGAGAAAATGACTTTGCAGTGGTAATTTAATCGTTCGACTCACCTAGTCTTGTACAGAATTTGCGTGCGCATAGTGAATAATTAAGAAGAAGGAAGGGGTTAAAATACAAAAAAAATTACAATACGCGTATCACGACCGACATTGACAAGCGAAACGGAGAAATGTGTGCCGCTTTTTGTATGCCTAAGAACATAGAGCCATAAGCAAACACTTCATGCAACTCCTACATTTCAATTTTTTTTTTTTTTTTTTTTTCAATATACAGAATAAGATAGAAAGGAAACTCATCGAGACAACTAGCCACCCTTCTCCCCCGATTAATACGAAACGCATCAAATCAGATTACACGAACGGCCACCAATTTATCCTACGAAGCAACGTGGATAAGACAGATAGTAACCGATAACCGATAAAATAATATTTTAATAAGAAGTTTACGCGCGTTCAAGTATCTGGTATAAAATTGAATACAACTCACTCCCTGCCATGCTAGAATTTAACAAATCGATAAATGTGTTTTACATTCGTTTATTTAAACCGAATCGACCGAACGCATAACAGCTATAATGCGGACTTCAAAGAGTAAAGTAAGCAAAAATGCGAAGACAAATCGCTTATCGTCATCCTCGAGAAAATGCATAGAATAAAGAGAAAAAAAACTTCAACATGGATTTAGTTAGTTTACGGACATTCATTGTACTTCGACATCGAAAGGAAGATACAGGAAAATCTTTGTGTCGCCAAATTGATTAACGTCTGCTATGATAAACGCGCAAAGAAAATGAAAGGAAAATTAATTAATCGTTGTAATCTACGCTAAGCGAGACCATTAATCACTGCTTGAAGTTTGTAACGTTTTACGAATCATTATAGCAATGCGTTGTATAATTTCAATAAAATTATTTATTACAATAAACAATAAATAAAGATAATATAATTTAGTCTATAAACTAGCACCACGTCCGAAATAATATTGTGGCGTCGCCTCCCATGCTCGCCACCAGAGGGTTCGCGCTCTCGCAAGCACTCGACCGACTTCCTAATATCCCAGTCGTCTAAGGTAGGGCCTGCTAGAAAGCCTTTTACTGATGAATCCGCTAGCAAGCTCGGACAAAACGCGCCCCCTCCTTTCCTTTTTTCAATCCTCCTACAAATTTCCCGAGTTCCTACTCGCAATAAAGTAGTGCCACAATATTATTTCTTTCTAAAAAATAATGCGTAGATTTAAAAACACAAACATACCTGGCTGCCGGGGCAATCGGAAAGCTAGTTCCAGGAACTGGTGAGGACAACAACCGGTCAATTTCCGAGGCATCACTATATCTCGAACAAAGGCCAAATATCATGTGTACTACCATTCAACAAAAAAAAAAACAACTTGTATTCTTACGTTTTGTATATTCGACTTTTACAAGTTTTATTTAAAAGTTGCTAATAGAAATATGGCTGTAAACGATGCAATGCTATTTTAAAAGATTGTTGATAGTTTATATAAATTTAAATTTAACAGGGAAAAATTTTATTTTCATTACTTTTGTACAAAAATTTGTAGTACTGTGACAAAATATTTCATTATTATAAGTCTTGTCTGACGACATGTTTCTGCCTCTCTGGAATAAAAGGTACCGCTCCCGGTTTGGAATGGATGCGCCTCTTGGCCTCTCTGCAACAAAATAATCGTACACGGTAAAATATTCTAATGGAGAATATGCATATTTTAGGTTAATTTTGTGTATAGATGACAATACGTACTTCCGACTGCTTTTCTCGCGTATTGTACGTAATTCGGCTTTAGCGTTATAAATATGTTTTGGAACCTGTCTATGGCGGGCAATTCTCTTAATCTGAGGATGTGCAGCGAACTTTTCTTTTAATGCTTCGCTGTAGTTCAGAGCTGCCCTTTCTCTAGGTTTCAGCTATAACAACACGTTACGTTAAATATTTTCATATATACTAACAAAATGGAAAAAGGAAATGAATAAGAAATTATTTTAATTATTATACATACCACACCCAGCTTTTCCGACGCCCTTGCCTTCCAAACTCTAATATTCATTTCATCACTACCGCTAAGAAGGTATTTATTATCTAGAGACCAAGCGGTGCACGTCAATCTTTGCATACGTTTCGTGTGATAAACATCTCGAGAATGACCTTTATCGACTTCAAAAATACGAATCGATTTATCGTAACTACCAGATACAAATTCTTTTCCAGTTGGTGCATAATCCACATCTATTACAGCTTCTACATGGTCCTTATGTACATTTACCGGAGTATACATTTTACGAATGTCAAAAGTATATAAACTGAAGTGAAAATATCGAAACTTCATTACAAAGTTTTTCTTTCAAAAATATTCTTTCGAATGACATCCGCGATTGATTAACATAAAAATCGAAGGAGAGAGAGAGAGAGAGAGAAAGGGAAATATCAAATATAAAATTTTTGCTTCAGCATTTAAATAGTTTCTAGAATGTTAATAAAGAAATTGCAACATCTTTGTTGCGTTCCAGTTTTTGTATCGTCGTCGATCAGATTTCCGATAGAGAAATAAAACATAACCTAACCCAAACCTAATAGCTCAGAAACTATTAAAGTCCTGAAGGTAAAACCACTTTATTACATAATGTATTCTTCAAAAACTTACTTATAGTCTTCGTTAGCACATGTAAAAGTTACAGCTTCCATAGGATTCCAAGATAGTTTATTAGTCCTTAATTTCATGCACACTTTTCTCAAAGGACCTGTTTCTCTGGCATCATATAAAATAATACTACGGTCACTTGCACAAGCAGCTGTAAAACAATAATGAATATTTAGAACTCTGAAGTAAAATGTTTTCCATTATATAATAAAATATTCAATAATTTTTACCAAATAAGTTTGATTGAACAGGATTATATTTAATGTCATACAAGCTATCAACACCCCATTTGAATGTCTTAATTGGTTCATTTCTAGTTTCTTCCCAAAGATTACATACTTCGCCGCATGTTGCAAAAACAGGCTGTCTTCGATGATGAGAGATTCCAGTAATAATAGTCTATAAAATATTCATAATTTTAAACTTATTATCTGGAATAAAATGAGTTTGTTTTCTTTCGACCCTTTTAGTCTTACTTTACTAAGAATTGTATTTATAGGTTCATCTTCTTCGCCGTACGGTGGCCTTTCTGCTTTCCATATTTTAATAGTTTTATCATCGCCAACAGTAATAAAATGTTCAGCATTTACATCAAATACAATTCCACGTACTATACCATCGTGTGCCAAAACTGAACGTTCACAAGTTCTATGAGTAAGATTCCATTCTCTTACTTCTCCATCAAAAGCTCCACTAACAAGTGTAGATAATTGGAAAGGATGTTTACACAAAGTGGACACTCCATCTCTATGACCTTCCAAACATCCTACAAAAGGCTTTGCAAATACCCTTTCTAATTTTACGGCATTTAATGCTCTTGTATATTCTCTTGCTGCATCAAATGGATGCAGTGCTGGATCATAGTTCCTAGGAACTACAAATAATGTACATACTTAGTAACTGATATATTAATGTTGAATATTTCAAAAACACTTTAATGTTATTTCAAAGGTTATATATGTATGATCAAATACAACCAACCTTTATGAATATCACGTTTCGTTTCTCGTATATGTTCATCCGGATTTCTTGTTAACATTTTCACCTTCATTTTGATAAAAATATAAAATCAGAGTTAACGTACAATTATTTAATTGACGGTCAGTTACTGAGCTGACCATAATACAACACAACATACGAAACATATGCGCGATAGCAGCGTAACAAAAATATGGACGCTGCTTCGATGTTAGTAAACAGTTTTAGTGACGTCGTTACTATTCTTGTTAGCACTCACGTTGCCAAATCAATCGGCGTAACGTAGACGATGTAAAAGCTTTCAAAGTGCATAAGCTTTAATTTAGAAAATCACTATATAAAAGAACTAAGGATGGCAACATGCTATGTATAAAAAAATATCATTTTTAACATACTATATAATAAAATAGGCACGAAAAGATAGTTTTCTTTCTTAGATATTTGAAACAGCTTGACAAATTAATGATTACGTGCATACAGTGAAAGCTAAGAACAATATCATAAGCGAATTAACTCTGTGCTGGAATTTGCTGTATGGTAAAGGATCTCGCGTGAAGAGGTCAATAACCGTATTCGGAGAAATCCATACTTCCTACGTGATATCTTGCACATAACGATGCTATAAAATCATATACTATTATCAAGTGGATCATGTAACGTCATGAAATATTTCCAAAAAATTCATTCCTCATATACGACAGTTTCATTTGACTTTTACGAACTATGTAATATTCATTCAAATTAAATATAATAATAAATATTTTGTTTTTAACACATATCAATTATAAATTTTATTGGAAGGTTGATATTATTATTTTATAATTTCCTTAAATTGCACACTGAGCAGAAAGATGAAGTCATTAGAAATATTGTCCCCATATAATAATTCCTTTTAAACTGTTCAAAATTGTATACTTAGTTTAATGAAATAATTCATTAATTAAGAAGTTTTGAATGTAAATAGACTATAGCAACATACGATAAATTTAAAAATGTGAGTAAAATAGGGATATTACAAACACATGAAATCATAATACAGTAGTGCCTACTTAAGTGACTGCACTTTTGTCCACTTAAATGTCCACGATACATTGTATACGAGGTCTCGGGTGCCAGCTATTGCATTTCACTTGCATTTATTCTCTTTCCTTATCTCCGTTAAATTCTGAGAAGTAGCCATGCCCACTTAAACGACCGCGGTCGGTCCCGAGTACGGACACTTAAGTGGGCACTACTGTAATTGGTGTCCGTGAAAGAGTATATAAGTATCAGAGCTCAGTGCCTGGCGCATCAGTATACACATAGCGGCAGAGAGATACAGTTTGTTATCAAATATTGATCTGTGTCTATCATCGGAAGTAAGTAATTACATTTTGTGAAATTGATAATGTGTGCCTGGATAACATCAAGGTGCTTGAAACGGATGTGTCAAAGAAGAATTGATTACAATGCAGAAATAAAATTGAATTTTCAATAACTTCAATAACGTCTTTATAAAATTATTCGGACAAGGTTAATATGTAACTATCAGCTGTACCTCTAGGTACTTTGTCAAATGTGTTATTTATAGGTATATAACCTACGAAAATCATATGATAGGATAAATCTGAACGTTTCATACATCATATAAATTCTTTAAAATTATGTGCGTGCATTTGTAAAATATTAATTATTGATGCAATCTAGAAATTGTTAGTTTTAATACATTTTAGAATAAAAAGTTTGCAAATTAAATGATTAAAAGTTTTAATGGTTTTAGTATAAGTAGAGTAAGTTAGAATAAATTAAGTGGTATTGTGAACTAGATTACATTAAGATAAAATTTAAATACATAATTTTAGACAATACTAACTACATTGTAAATAAAAATTTAAAATAATTGTAGAATGTTTCGTTCGCTATTCTTAAGGCAATTTAAGTTGCCAAGAAGTAGTCAATTACATTCTACTTCTACGAGTAGAAATAAATCTCCATCACTTAGTAATCAAACACCAAAGCCGAATGATCAATCATCAAAGCCCAAAAATCAAGAAAGCAGTGAATTTCAAGGTAAGATATATTCTGTGCATTTTTTGTACATTAAGTCAAATACATGACAAAACAAATTCGATTTTATATTTTTTATGTACTTCAGTGCACAGTCATATGCACACTCCAACTGCTATGGATAAAAAAATACTAGTATGGGTTAAACGTTATTCTAGTATAGATGAAATCCCAAACCAAGTAACGTAAGTAAATATATTGACACACAGATGCTCATATCGAGGCTTCTTGTTCACAGTATATTATAGTTTAAAATATTTATGGTTTATGATGCAGTTCAGATAAATTGCAATTTTCACATTTAAAGTGTGAATAAATTATTCACCTTCAGAATTCATATACTAAGTATTATTTATGTACTTTTTATTAATTAGGTATGATTGTATTCAACGAGCACATACTAAGGCAAGAATTCGTGTATGTAATTACCTAATAGTTTTTGCATTGTTTGGGTTTATCGTTTCTGTTTGGAATGGAAAGAGAGATATAGCATCTGGAAGGCATATAATATCAGATAAAATGAACTGGGTAAGAGAACAGAGACAAAAAGGATTAGCTGAAGCTGAAGCTAAAGCTAAAGCTGAAGCTGAAGCTGCTAAATAGCGATGAAGCAATATTTTAGTGATATATTAAATAAATTAAAACTTTAATAAATAGCTATCATGTAGTGAATAGTATATCAAATTTCAAATATATTTTTTGATTTCGTATGGAAAATAGTTTTTATCTTAACAGTGTTTTCAAATTAGCAATAATATAATTCTGTATAAAATATTTTTATAAATGCTTAAATTGTAATATATATCGTTTTAACATTTTAAGATATACTTTATATGTATATTAATTAAAGCAAGTTTCAAATGTTCAGTCAATAAATCGCGATCTTATATTTAAATACAGTAGTGCCCACTTAAATGTCCGCGCTCGTTTTAGTGGGTATGGTTGCTTCTCAAAATTCAACGGAGATAAGAAAAGAGGGTAAGTGCGAGTGAGATACAATAGCAGGCACTCGAAACCATATATACAATGTATCGATAACGACCGGTCGCTTGGCTTCCAAAAATTGATAGGGATAACGGCGGACATTTAAGTAGGCACTACTGTATATTCAAAGATTTTTGTCATTTCCATGATTTATATATAGAACTTTGATAGATTAAAAATAATTATAATACATTATAAAGAAATTATGAAAAGATGGTTTAATGGTAATTTTCACAAATAACAAACTTTATGTAATTACTATTTCATTAATGCAGTAACTAACTATATTTATAATTAACGTATCTAATTACATATTATCGTGATTACGGTCAGGTTATAATAACCTATATAGCTATAAATGCAGTTAGGTTTATAACCATGTAAATCATTGACATATTTGAAATATTTGTTGATAATACAATACTAAGTTGTTATGTTTGGTGGCTTATAAAAACTACGGCATCTTTCGTAATATACTTGAATTGTACGTTTCTTTACAACCTCTTCGACATTTAACTCTGATTGTAATAATCGCAAAGTACTTTGCTCCTTCCTCAATGTCTTAAGAAGCTGTGGACTCTCATTACCATTGTCTCTCTGGTTCCTTAAGTGTTTTACTCTTTCCTTTGTGCCATTTAAACATCTTGTAATAGCTAATTCCCTTTTTCTATGACCTGATTGAATTTGTTCAAATAAATCTTTACATGTCACAGTAGGATCAATCTGGCTTTTAAAAGATTCTGTTGGAATTGTTGTGTTCAACATATAAATAATTTTGTCATCGATTTGTCGCATCTTTTGCAATGAATCCTGAAAGAAAAGAAATATTTGTAGTTTAAATAATGTAAAAAATATTCAACAAAATATCTTAATTAATTAATACGATATGTTATATCTTTTTATTTGTATTATTACATCGTACTCCTAGATGCATATACATATAACAATTTTATATATGCATATGATTACAAAATATTACAGCAAGTTCAATTCTTTACGTACATGTGGCAACTTAACCTAAACTCGAGTTTTTAAATTAGTTTTACAAATGATACGTTAAAATCAGACTCTTTTTATATTAATTCCCAAAAAGTTTTTTGACTCAAATGTTCTTTAATTGTACAAAATATTATGTAAACCATTTAATAACAGTAATTGAATTGAAGATACACAATGGTAACATTTTAAAAATACAAAGTACCATTCATCAAATATTAGTTAATGCAATTTAATTAAAATTGAGAAAATTGATATTTAATGTCCTTTGTGTTATATTCATTTACGATAGAAATACCTGAAACTCTAGAAAATCACCACATTCAACACTTACGGCTGCCATAGTTAAGCGAAGACTGCAGAGCCAGTATCAGATAAAAGCAATAGGTGATGGGTTGAAGTAACGTGGAATTTATAATTTACAATTTAATACAGTTAGGATTTAATGGAAAAAAATTTCATCGAACATATTTCTTTTGTATGTATATTAATGCGTAAATGAGATGGCTAGGTAATTACTTATTTTACTTATTGAATTATAAGATTCGTCGTAAATCTAGAGTAGTTCAAAGAGGATACAGACTAATATAAAATCGTGAAGAAAAGTCTAAATTTCGAAAATTTGAGAATCCAACCCCTATAAATTATAAATAGAAATAAAAATATTAAAGTTTTCAGTGATCAATATTTGCCAACTAATAAAAAATCCCTAGAAACGATTAAAATTCAGATAATAAATTTTGTTGGCCAATATAGGGAGCTCGAGCCTCTGTAGCCCCAGAGGTGCCAGATTGAGCACCGGTTACACTACTCACACTATGCCAGATCACGCGTACGTGAGTTCGTAGGGTTTCGAAAAGTCGACAAAGGCAAACTGATACATGGTCTCTTTCTCGATTCTTCGAAGCTACCCGAAGTAATTTTGGACCGTCTCGTGGGAGTCGAGAGAAGAAGGTTCACATTTGCCTCCTCTCTTTTGAACAACTAAAATCAAGACACCACTCTTTGCCAGTATCGTGTACGCTGTAGCATTTTTCAATAAGAAGTGTTCTTATTTTTATAATATGAACAAAAAAGAAGAATCAAATGTTGCAGAAATTAATAATGATTTTCCGCGATATGTTTTGGGATAATTAACTAAGCTTCTGCTGGCCTCCATTGGCATCTGCTGACCGCTGCTGACAACTCCTGATAATTCTGACAACATATAACAATTACTACTGACTTCTGCCAGCCTCCGCTGGCCTCTGTTGACCGCTGCTGGCCCCTGCTGACCACTGCTGACCTTTGTTGGCAACTTCTGAGATGATATATGTATATGTATTAAAGCTTTGTATAATGTAAATCAATTGCAATAAATTATATAATTTCAAAGAATTCTATGTGTTGCCATCATCTTTTACCTTTCTTTTCCTTTCCAAATCATTCCCTTAGTTATAAGATACGTATTACCTCTTCGCAAGGCTGCCAACATTTTGGAAAAATTCCGGACATTTTGGAAATCCGAATTTGGCCGAATCAAGGCCATTCGAATTTTGGGGGGAAGACCGGGCACTTTGGAAATTCGGATGGCCTTGGCTCAATTTCGAAAGTGGGCCAAGGTCAAGGCCATTCGAATTTTAGAAAAATTCCGGACACTTTGGAAATGCGGATGGCCTTGACCCAATTTCAAAAGTGGGTGAAGGTCACCAGCATTTTGGATATGTTCTGGGCACTTTAGGATTTCAGTTTTAAATGAAAAAACGGTTTCTTATAACTAAGGGAATGATTTGGAGAGGAAGAGAAAGGTAGAAATGATGAGAACACATAGAATTCTCTGAAATTATATCACTTATTGCCATAGATTTACATTATACAAAGCTTTAATATACAGGGTGTCCGACTACCTATGGCAAAAATTTTAATGAGCGATAGTAGAGGCCAAAATAAGACGAAAATCAAGAATACTAATTTGTTGATGGAGGCTTCGTTGCAAAGTTATTAACATTTAAAGTTCCGCCTGTAGAATGACAACCGGCTAAACAGCTGCGTTCGCGCGGACATTTGCGGCAGGCCAGTGCTAGTGGTTCTCACGCAGCATGAAAAATTCTACTTACCGACATTATCGACAGCCTTAGATTTTTGTCCACTTATGGGAATGCGAACACATTACGTTGAATAAGATTCAACCTGTCTTATGAAAATCCATAAGGGCATATCAAAACTCGCCCGACGAGATTTTCACAGAGAAAGGGTGAATGCCAGTTCCAATACACAATGTTGTGAACAAAAATCACCCACACGCAATTATACACGCCCCACGATTGTTCACAGTGTCCACAAGTATCCACAAATAATCCTTTCAGGCACTAACCTCTATGCAATTAAATAAACACGCACCGCGATTATGTTATTCGTGAATGTCTACGTGTAGGTGTATCACGATTCTTCCGAGTTACTTACGAATAAAACTGTTATTAATTTTTCAAATACACTTCAATTTAAAAATGTAAAAAGGAATCGCAAGATAAATGAAATTTTCGCATCGATTTACGTTCACGTCGAAGAATGTAACAATACCACAGACGAGATATATGAATAGACGTTTCACGTAATGTAATTTTTCGGCCGGAGTTTCTGGGGTCCCGGGACCCCATTACCATTTTCGTGTCACTCGCTACGTTATCAACAGATTCAGAAATTAACACAAGAGGAAGTGAGACAGAAAATAAAATTACATAAATTTTATTATTTTTTAACGGAATTAAAGCTGTAGGGTCCATCATTGGACATTAATCGATTAATTTCATTGGAGAAATCAATCGATTAAGAGTATTTAAAAATTTCAAGATTATTAAAATTCATAAGGATGTATTTCATTGATACGTACACCGCAAATTCTCTATTTTTTATTTTAAATTGTAATACATCATTTATTAAAAAAATAACTCGGCAGAAACGTATTTGCGACTCGAAATCAGTTTAATCAGACTGTGCATCGGGGCCCCGGAAACTCCTCATTCCTCGCTTTCGCACACTATGCTCAATTGCGTGTACGTGAGCTCGTTGAGTTTCGGAAGAGCCGAGAAGAACAGGCTGATACTCGCTTTCCTTCTCGCTCTTGCATCGCTGACGTCGTTTACATTTCTCGAAAGCAAGCCTGGCATCGCCAACCGTTCGAATCGTCAGTAAACGACTAAAGCCATCGTGACTGACAGACCTTACATTTCTCGAAATCGGACCTGGGCGCTTTTTGAAGATTCATTGACTTTCCATACGAAGCGACCATGCGTTATATACATATACATGTTATACATGCTAGGAACTATAAATTGTATAACTTTCGTTGTATATCTACTTTCTAATAACATGGGAAAATTTTAAAATATAAAAAAATGTAAGAATACTGTAGAATTTTTGCAATGGAGAATTATTGAAAGAAAATGAGGTAATTATTTAGAAAAGGCCGGGTCTCACCGATTTCGATGATTTTTGAATATGTTGTAGAAATCAACATTTTGAGCAACTTTTTCTTGAGAGATTTTTCTTCAAAAATATCGCTACTACTACAATGAATTCTGTCTATATGTACATATCTGTGGCTCTGCATTGCATCAGTCCACGATCGTTGCTTTTTTCTCTTGTTTGTATTAGTCGGCATGACAACCGACGACAAATAATGTATAATGTGTCGAGCTAAATCTAGTTCTGCATTGTTGTCAAAAGTTCGAATATTCTGAAGTATTGAACTCGCCAAATACATTATGTAGGCTATTTAGGTGAATTCTTCTTCCGTCGACAATATCATGCTAATAATCTAATAATTAAATTTGTCGAAATAATGGCTGAAATCTTTCCCACTTCTGATAATATCAATAAAGAAAATTGAAATAGAAAATGAATGCGTGGCCGCCGTTAGGCGGCCGGCTACACAAATCGAGTTTTTAAGCACAGCTGTTATACGCATTCATTGCCGGCCGCCTCGATGTATCTATAGAAACAATAAACAATCGGCGAGTCGTATACATACTGCAGATTTTTTGTCAACAATCGGCGAGTCGTATATATATAACAGGCACGTAAGTGTAGATAGAATTCATTGTAATAACAGCGATATTTGTGAAGAAAAATTTCGGAAACTAAGGCCGAGCGGTGGTATCAAACCTTGAAATGAGAACACAAAACTTAATGTAAAATTACATTGAAATTCATTTGATTGTTTAGACTCAATCGTATTAATAGTATAAATATATGAACGCACGTCCATAAGCATAGTAAAAAAATGTCTTTTTTAATAGTTAACCCTTTGCACTCGGCACCTTTTCGGACGTTAGCTATCAGCAACTCGACGCTACTTTCTCGCGAAAACGAAAACCCTTGAGTCGTGATATTATATGGTACAACTTTGGAACCAAGTAAGGCATTGTGTTGAAATTTGGTTTATATGTATTTATGGACATTGAAGAACACATATTTACAATACAAAATAAAAATTTATTTCTCATAATTTTCTATGGTATGGTAAATTCTGAAACAATTCCCAATATACATAGCAGGTTGATTTATACATGTTTCACAATAAAATGTTGTTTGACGTCTTTCTCCTGGTGTTTTCCTGTCGGAATAAATAATGCAGTCCCGGTTTCTTTGGCCTACATTTGGAATATATAGCTTATTATTCATTCTATTGTCCGACAAAGAACGTTAATTTATTTAGATTATAACGAAGATAGCAATAGGAATGGTTCGACTTTGAATGAAGTTTCGATTTTACGTTTATAGTTTTTTACGTTTACGTTTTATGTTCTTTATGTTAAATAATTTTAGTAAACATTAAATAATATTGTTAGACAGAACGCGAAAAAGGGAATTGGGAAACAATGAACTACGCAAGGTATTCGTAACTATATTTTATTCTGGCCCTTTCCGCGTCGGAAAAACGAATGACTCCGTCCTGGGCCTAGACTCTCGCCTTTGTCGTCAGCCTTCCCCCATCGGTAGGGGTGGGGGTGCTGACGGACGAAGGTCAGACGCGGTCCCTTGCCAGCGCCTCGACTTGGGCCTCGCCTTTTCCCGACGCCTTACAATATAGTTTATATAGTTACGTTTATTGTCCACGTGTTTGAATCCGATCATACGCCTCTGACCATCCTCGACAATCCTTCCACTTCCAACGTAAAAACGGCTGATATATTTCTCATTTTAATAGAATATTTCCCATTTTAATAGGAAAGTACAGGAAAACATGTGTTTCTTAAAAAATTGCGGTGAAATCAGTTCATTCTCCTTAATCACTAATAAACTTTCATGTCCCCTCAGAGGGGCAACCGAGTGCAAAGGGTTAAAATATGTTCATAAAA